TGTTTCCCATAGAAAACATAGTCGGATTAGGGTAAGAGTTAGGGTTAGGGTTAGGGTTAGGGTTGGGGTTAGGGTTAGGGTTAGGGTTAGGGTAGGGTTATGGTTAGTGTTAGGTTAGGGTTAGGGTTAGGGTTAGGGTTAGGATTAGCATTAAGGTTAGGGTTGGCGTTAGGGTTAGGGTTAAGGTTAGGGTTAGGTATTTACTATTGTTAAAATGAAAGAACAGTAACATTTTGCATTTAACGTTCTTTAGTTGTACATAAAAGGACTACGGCACCAATGTCAGTCATGTTGCTTAAGAAAAATATTTGTCTCATCTGTATCTAGGTGCTTGCTTTCCTATAGAAAACACAATGGTTCTTGCTATGTATTAACTAGAGTTAAAAGGAAAGAAGAGTAGCATTTAGCATTTAACAATGTTCTTTATGAGTTGTATGTAAAAAGGACTGAGGCATCAATGTCAGTCAGGTTGCTTAAGAAGAACATGTGTTGCATCTGTATCTAAGTGCTTGCTTTCCCATAGAAAACACAGTAGGGTTAGGGTTAGGGTTAGTGATATAGGGTTAGGGTTAGGGTTAGGGATATGGTTAGGGTTAGTGTTAGGGTTAGGGTTAGCATTGTTTAGGGTTGGCATTAGGGTTAGGGTTATCATTAGGGTTAGGTATTTACTATAGTTAAAATGAAACAATGGTGGTTTTCTCACACACATGGATTTCATTTTTCCAGTTACTTTGTTTTCTGGGATCTTTGATCCTAGCAATTGTTACATTTCTGGTTTCCCAGTGCTTAGTGGTGGCCCTGGATTTCTGATCTCCCTGAGCTCTACCCACATTTCTGTAAACAGTTACTTTATTATTCACTCTGCAGTCTACCTTTGAGTGCACAGTCTATTTCCTCCTGGAACTCTGACTTGTACCATTATGGATGAATTTTTGTATCCTCCCCACAGAATTCATGTTAAAGCACTCACCTTTAATGTAATGGTGTTAGGAGGTGGATTCTCTAGGAGATTGGGCCAGTGGAACACTTGTGAATGGGATTAGTGCCCTTATGAATGAGCCCTGGAAAGCTCCCTTGCTTCCTGCTCTCCAGAAGTGTTCAGCAGTCAGCAGCCCAGAAAAGACCAGAATCTGATCATGTTGGCATTCGTCTTGGACTTCTAGCTTCCAGAACTGAGAACTGAGAAATGAGAAACTTCTAGCTTCCAGAACTGAGAACTGAGAAATGTTCATATTTATGTTGTTTATAAGCTTCCAGGTCTCTGGAACTTTGTGATAGTAGCCCAAGCTAAGACACCCATAAAACCCTTAGTCCTGAGAATGACTTTCACATCCCCATCCTTCCTTATTGTATCCTTGCCCCATGCAACTTGTCCTCTGTCACCCAGACTCCCTCAACATCCCTGTCCCACTCTAAGCCCCTCTAATCTCCAGGTGTTGCTCCTCTGCCTTCTTTCTACCACACTACTCATGCCACCAGTGGGCAGCTGACACTGTGGTCACCTGTCTGCCCTCTAGGATCCTGTTGAGGAAGGATAGGGAGTGTTCCAAAAGCAGGATCACCTTTGAGTCTGTCACCAAGCTTACAAGAGCCATTTGTTGACAACTAAAAGACAGCTTTCCTTCCAATGTCACATATCCCTGAAATGGAAATACCCCAGGCTTGGAGACTTTACTCCTTAAATCCATCAAACAAAATAGGCAAGGAGAATAATTATAATTGACCTAATATGTCATCGTTCTTAAAGAAACAAGTCTTGGAAAAACTAGCAAGCAAACCCCTTACAGCCAGCCCTCACTAGCTCTAAATCTTCCTGTTCAGAACAATATAGTCAGCACACCAAGTCATTTCAGTCTTCTCTTTACCCATTACTCTAAAATTATTCTGACTCCTTGGGAATGCTTTCTAGGTTGTCAGTGGTGGCTGTGGTGATGCTGGTGATGATGCAGGCAATGGTGGTGGTGGTGGTGATGATGGTGAGAGTGGCGATGGAGGTGGTGATGGTAGTGATTGTGGTGGTGGTTATGATGCTGATAAGGATGGTGATGATGGTGATGGTGGTGGTGATTGTTGTGATAGTGGTATTGGTAGTGATGATGATGGTGCTGATGGTGGTGCTGGTGGTAGTGATGGTGATGAGGATAGTGATGATGATGTTGGTGGTAATGGTATCGATGATGGTGATGGTAGTGGTGGCGGCAGTGATTAGGGTGGTGGGCTCTGTCCCAGTGATGTATAGGAGCTAATTTCCATAAGGGAGGCTGACGGTGAGAGACCCCAATGCACTACAAAAGGGTGGTACCACAAGGTAGAGGCCTCATCTTGAGCATCAATAACTGCTCATCTTTGGCCAGTTTCACCACAAAGGAATGTGGGCCTGGTTTTACCACACCTCTCTGCTTTTCAAAAAAAAGTCTGAAATCTGGACTTGTTTGCAAAGTTACTTGATTTTATTTTGGGGGCTCGATTTTATTACATGTACATACATGAAATATGACAATAAACACCCCTAGCTAGAGGGAACAACAGACCAAATCCTCATGTTTGAGAGTAAGACTGGTGTGATGGATCATCTTGGTTGTCAACTTGATACACCTGGGAAGGAGGAAACTCATTCAAGGAATTTCCTCTACCTATTAGCCTGTTACCATATGTGTAAAGAATTTCCTTCCTTCCTTCTTTCCTTCCTTCCTGCCTTCCTTCCTTCCTTCTTTCCTTCCTTCCTTCTTTCTTTGGTTTATTTATATGTATCCATGTTTTTTCTGTATGTATATATGTGTACCGCAAGAGTACCTGGTACCTATGGAATCCAGAAGAGGACATCAGCTTCTCTAGAACTGGAGTTGTGGATGGTTATGAGCTGCCATGTGGGTGCTGGAAACTGAACCCAGATCATCTGCAAAAGTAGAAAGTGCTCTCAACCTTCAAATTATCTCTTCAGCCCCTGAGGCATTTTTAAATTGCTAATTGATGTAGGGGGGCCCAGCCCACTGTGAGCAGTGCATTCCTTAAGCAGGCAGACCTGGGCTGTATAAGAAAGCTAGCTGAGTAAGCTAGAGGGATCATGTTGGTGAAGTACCATTCCCCCATCATTTCTGCTTCAAGTTCCTGCTTGAGTGCCTACCTTGGTTACCCTCAACGATAGATTGTAACCTGTAAACTGAAATAAGCCCTTTCCTCCCCTAAGTTGTTTTGTCATGCTTATCACAGGGACAGAAGTCAAACTAGGACAACTGGGAATTTCCATTGGTTGTCAGGGCCTTGAAGAGGAATGTCACATGGTTCCCTATCTAGAGACTGTGGCTGAAAGTGAGGTCTTGGGGGGCAGGGTACAAACCAATCACTGGGTTTTTACTACCTGCTGCCACTTTGTGGGAACATTGTGTGGGGATGAAGTCTGTCTTTCTTAGTAAAAGATGGTCCATAAATGAGCCAGCTGCTGGTGCTGATGAAGGAGGGAAAGAGGATGGATTATTTATTATTATTATTATTAATTTTATGTGTATGAGTGTTATGTCTGCATGTTTGTGAGTGCACCTGTGTCATGCAATGCCCGTGGAGGACAGAAGAGGGCATTGGATCCCCTGGAACTGGAGTTATGGATGGTTGTTAGCTGCCATGCGAGTGCTAGGATTCGAACCTGGGTCCTCTGCAAGAGTAGCTAGTGCTCTTAACTGCTGAGCTACCTCTCCAGCCCCAAGAGGATGGCTTTTATCTAGGGAGTGGATGTGCTAGGTGGGTAAGAAGTAAACTAGGGTACTGAGCAGGGATCAGATCTGGGGTTACTATACCCACAGTGCCCACTACATGTGCTAGTTATGAACAATTAAAAAAAAATGAAAGAGAGTAGAAGTCCCCCAAGCAGAGAGCTCCTCTGCCTCCTCTTACATTTTGTCAGGACTCAGTGTGCCCCCAGCGGAGGTGAGGGGCTCACAGCTCAGAGAAGGCAGAGGCTGGTGGATGGTCAAGGAGGGCTGTCTGGAGGAAGGCTGACCTCAGCAGATCCTGAGAGAGTGAAGTGAGGGCAGGAAGAGCACTGTGGGGATGAGAGAAGCCACAGGCACAGGGGTTAGGAGCTGAGACGAGATGGGTGCATCCAAGCTGGAAAGTGGTGCTAAGACTGGGACCCCAGGAGGTAGGAGTAGAGGGTCCTCAGTCACCAGCTACCTGGCCTAGCCCCCAGTGTCCAGGGGAGGAAGTGACTTACCCACGGTCACTGTGCATAAATAGGGAAGCTGGGACTCAAATCTAAGCCTCCTGACCCTAAGCCTGAAGTTTGCATCTGCAGGAAGCTGCCTTCAACAACCACAATGACCGAAGGCTTCAGAGGCCAAATCTGTGAATGCACAGGCAAGTGCTGGAGCTTGCAAGTCGGCGAGGGCCTCTTCCTCCAGAAGCTGTCCTGTCTGCTCCCATCCTCCTTCACTTGTTCCTGAGCCCTTTCTCACCTTCTCACACTGAACAAAAAATGTCCCCACTGGGGATGGGACACATCAGTTTGACAATGGCTCTGGAACCTGGCACGATGTGGCATGTTGGTGATGGATACTGCTGAGTGAATGCTGTGCTGGTCCTGAGTCTGACTCTTAATCTGCTACCAGCACCAACTGAGCTCACTCCATCGCTGGCTCTCAGACTATAGCAAGCAATGTGCACTGCTCCTTAGTGGCCACATGCATTCAGCCCCAGCTCTAGGCCTACTGAGTTTAGCCTGGCTGCCCCTGAGCCCCTTGCAAAGCCACCTGTCCCTTGGGCATCTAGGCCTCCAGCCTCAGGGCTTTAACTATACTTTATAGAACCTGGGTACAATGTCTTCCAGAGCAGGCCTCTGCATCATTGCTGGGGTTGGGGCTCAAGTAGGGACTAGGTATAGCAGAAGTGAGAAGTAGTGAGTAAGGGAACACTCCCAGATTTAACATCTGTGGATCTGAGCACAGACCCACCAGGTTGATAGGGCTTCCCCAGGTCCTCTCCCACTTAAAGAGCACTTCACACACAGCTCAAGGACACAATGACAAACTTTATTAGACATGTTCCTTGCTTGTGGATCACATTCACATTAAAGTGGGGTCTGTGCCTTCTGGCTGTAGTTTCCCACGCTGTGACGAATTCCAGTTAAAAAGGAGCCTGTGGAGAGCATCCCAAATGGTGGCGCTGGCAGCAACAGCAACAGCAGTGATCCTTGAAATGACAGATCTTGAGGTGGGCAGAGATCGTGTGTCTCACACCTGCCCTTCCAGTCACCATGGGCCCCAGCTGATAAATAAACCACATCTTATACACACACAGTGAAAACAAGAAACAAACTTGTAGAAGTCATCTGAATTGAAAAAATATTTTGCTCAAAGAAAGCTTTGTAACAGCCAGACCTCACCCTGAGTGGATGGCTGCCAGAGCCCTGGGCACTCAGGAGGGCATCCCATTCCCAGGATGTCTCAGACTTGATGTCACAAGGTCCCCATCCTCATTAGCACCTTTGGATGAAGGCCATCCTACCACTCTCATCTTTTCAATGATCATATCCAGGAAGAAGCTCTGTCCCTGGGCTGTCATCAGATTCCTGTCCCTGAATAGAGAGGGGCTGGGGTGATCAGACTTTACTCATGGCTGAAGAGGGCAGGGAAGGGGCAAGGAAGCCAGCTCAGAGAGGGAATCCCGGTGCTTAGTGCTGCTGTGGCCACTTCTGCCCGAGACATCCCTAGGGACCCATCTCTCAAAGTGATACCGAGTCTCAAAATGTAGGGACAACCTCTCTGTCCCAGCCAGGGAAGACAGGGAGGGGACCAGCAAGGAGCTGCTTCCTTCATTCATTATTCAAAGGCAATTTTCTTGCCACTGGCTAATTTTCCTGGGCCTGTCTGCAGCGGGGCACACGATGCCATCTCCTGCCAAATGTTTTATTCATTCTCTTGAATAAGAACTCTTTCTGCAACTAGATCGACTCGGTGGCTGCCAGATCCTGGACGGTGACAGCCTTTCTGCCTGGGCAGTTGCTTCATGGGCAGTCCATACTGGTGGCAACAGGCACCCCCTTTCCAAGTTAGTGACACGCCCTGGCACTCCGGAAGCCACAAACGTGCTTGTGTGACTGTTGATGACAGCAAAGCCCCACGCAGCCCTTTGGCGCTGTTCACTGGTACTGCAGGTAGTTTTTGAGAGACTGAGGCAGAGGCAGAGAGTTGATGTCCCGTAAGCGCTGTCGGCCCAGAGCTGAGCGAATGGATCTCCGGCACAGGTCCATCAACGGCAGGGGCTCGGCTGCAAAGAGAGTGAAGCGTGAGTGCCCGCACCTCCTCACCCCACCCAGGCTGCCTTCCCTTGCTCCTGAGCTGGCCTCAGGGCCCACTGCTGTAAGGAACCTTCTCTGCTTGCTCCAAGGAACCCCCAGCAATGCTTATCAAAGGTGGAACACAGCCTGTCAGACTAAAGGATCTGGAATAGCCGCTGGTGGCTAGTGGTATTAAAAGAGAAAGATAGAAAACTGGAAGCAGGCCCCGGGGCAAGGATAAGGGCTGTCCTGTGAAAACGCTGATCAAGTTTGGTGTCTCAAGGTGTTTGAAGGTGGCCTTGCCTGCAGGTGGGCAACTGTTTTAGAAAAAGGATGACTTGTCTGAGCTACTCAGGAGGCTGAGGGGGAGAATCCTTTGAGCCCAGGAGTTCAATGCTAGCCAGAGCAACACAGTCAGACCCCATCTCAGAACAAAAAGATTAGATTTGAACAGGCTTTCACAATTCCTTCAAACCTCAGATTCCCTATACCTTCCCTTGATGGGTAAATACACATTTTCTTCCAGCATTCAGTTCTGGAAAAATTCATACTTTAAAAATTCCTAAGTGGCCAGGAAGATGGCTGAGGGGGTAAAAGTACTTGCCACAGAAACCTGATGACCTGAGTTTGAGAAGCCGTGTAAAAAGCTGGATGCAGTGGCAGGCACCTGTAATACCAGCCCTTCTACAGGGAGGTGGGAGGTAGACACAGCAAAGAGACCCTGACTCAACAAAGTGGAAGGCGAGAAATGACTCCTACTAGTTTTCCTCTGAGCTCCATATGCGCTCCATGGAATAGCCCCCGACCCCCACACCACAAAGGAGAAAAAGATCCATAAGCAACAGCTCTCCCAAATAAAGGTCAAACTGAGTTTCCTAGGCTCATTCCAGTGCTCACATTGAGCATTGATCTCTTCCAGTCCCATGATAGCCCTATGGATACAGACAACTGAGCCAGGGCCACAGCCAGCCTTGGGGGTGAGGGAGGGCTCTTGGGCTGGGATTTTAAAATAAGTGAATGATTTTAAGAGTGTAATATATACAAGAATTCTTGAATTCACAGGGCAGAAACTAGGCAGGTCCTGGTAAACTTCAAGGAAAGGACATTTGGATAGGAATCTGAGGGGTGAGTAAGGACATTATAATTACTCAGGGTTAGGTAGGGTGTTGTGAGCAGAGAGAACAGGCATAGGTCAGGAAGGCAGGTGAGCTGGGGGAGGGGCACTGGCTGGGTGGAGAAGGAAGGGGACACTAGCCCCATGTTGTCTCATGTGGGCCTAGACGCTCAACCTACATCTAAATATTCTTTGGATAATGGAATAAGTATGATTTTGAAGACAAACATTAATGCACATGCTGTGCAGGAGTGGTATCAGGAAGGAAAGGGAGGGGCATGTTTACAATCAGTTTGAGCCTCAACAGAACATTTGCTGGCTTTATTTGCAGTTCGAGTGGTCAGCTGTCAGAATCAGAGTGAGACTCAGACATCAGAGTGAGACTTAGCATTAGAAGTCAGACCCAAGGCCACACCTTGCTGTCCTTCGCTGAGGCCAGACCCCAGCAACAGTGGCTTCACGTTCTCTTCCTTACCTTTCTATCCTCTTACAAAATGAGGCCAGCTGGGGGTGGGTAGGGGTATGCCCTCCCTCCCAGGCCTGATGCTCATGTGCCAAGCAGACACAGATCTGTCTCTCATCGGCCTCTTCTGGCAGCACCTCCATCCTTCACTGCTCCCAGTCCCTCACAACTTTAGGTGACAGCCTGCACTACCCTGTCAGTCAAGCCCTTACCCTAATCCGGCTTTCAACACCTAGCTGGGCTACTTAGCAGGCAATATGTGGGATGAGGTATACTTGCTGCTATTCTCTCCTACAGACCTCTTATGTGGTGAGGCACACACTAAGCTTTTTATTTGGCTCAATTCAAGTGAATACATGTATCAAAGTCATAACAACCTCTTGAGGTAATAAATATTATGGTTGCCACCCAAACCTGCCTAGGATTCCTGAGGCCAGCCTCCTCCCCTGGTAAATTTGACACTGCCCATTGCTCCTTGACTCCCACAACCTGATTCAATCTCCCAGCTCCCACATCCCATTCTCCTTCTAACCCTGGGAACAGGCCCACTTCTTCTCTTGGCCCCCAAGTCCTCTGGACTACCCTCTTGTCCCAGAGCCCCCAATTTTTCCTGATCCTTTGCACCCAGACTAACCCAATTCTTCAATCTATGTCCCTAGAGACCTCACAGCCTGTCCCCACCCACAACTTGCCTTTGCACACCTGAGACCAGCCTTCTTCCCTGGCTGTCCCCAGAGGTGGTCCCCTCACTGCAGACTTCCCAGTGTCCTGATCAGGCAGACAAATCTGCTCAGTCAGGACTCTGGCCAGTCTACTACTCAGCAAGAACTTGAAATACCCACCAATTTGTCTTCCATATCTAAACAAAAAGTAACTAAGCTACATAAACAATATTAAAAGAACAAAAATTAACTTAAACAAAAAAAGAGTAGAAATTCCTACTGAACACATAACAGCAAAGAACATCATATGCCCAAATGGGAATGCAAAAACACAAACAATATGAAAAACCAGGATAATATGTCCCCAACAAAACCCACAAGTCCTACAGAAGTGCACAGCAGTGAGAACCACCTGTTAGACATCAGGATGCAGAATTGAAAAGAACAGTCATAAACACGATCAAAGAACTTCAAGAAAACACAGACAAACAACTCAAAGAACTCAAAGAGGAAAGGTATAAACTTTTGACAGAAACCCAAGAATATACAAATATGTGGTTTAATGAAATATCAAAAACAATTCATAACTTGAAAAGTGAATTCACTAACGAGATAGAAGTAGTGAAGAAAAGCCAAATGGAAATGAACATGGGACTGCAAAACTCAATAAACCAATTAGAAACAACAGGAGACAGTCTCACAAGCAGAATGAATGAAATGGAAAACAGAATATCAAAACTGGAGGATAAAGTTGAAGATCTGGACTCCTTAAGCAAAGACTACGCGAATTTTAAAAACACACAGGGATTCAATACTTGGGAAATGTGGGACAACATGAAATGACCAACTATGTATTATAGGCATACAGGAAGGAGAAGAAACTCAAACCAATGATTGAACAGATCTTCAATAGGATTATAGAAGAAAACTTCTCTAAATTAAGGAAAGATAATACCTATAGAGGTTCAAAAAGCATGGAGATCAGAACAGAAAGTCCCCATGACATACCATAATAAAAACTATGTACAGAATGTACAGAACAAAGAGAGGGTTCTGAAAGCTGCTAGAGAAAAACAAGCACATATAAAGGAAAACCCATCAGAATTACAGCTGACTTTTCAATACAAACTATGAAAGCCAGAAGAGCCTGAAACAAAATATTCCCAGTTCAAAACAATCATGGGTACCAACCCCAAATACTTTATCCAGCAAAACTATCTAACAAGGTTGAAGGGGAGCAGAAAATTTTCCATGACACAAATAGGCTGAAAGAACTCATGTCCTCCAAACTAGCTCTACAGAGAATACTTGAAGCAATACAAAGGACTGAAGAAAGGACTGAGTATGCCCAAGAAGCCACAGAAAGAAAATAAAGGTATAACAACAGAAACACGAAATAGGGCCACAAACAAAAAGAAATTAAAATGACAGAATACAATACACACCTTTCAATAATAACATTAAATATTAGTGTCCTCAACTCCCCTGTCAAAAGGCATAGGCTGATGCAATGGACCAAGAAAGAAAACCCGTCTTTTTGTTGTCTTCAAAAAATTCATCTCACCTTCAAGGATAGACACTATTTTAGTGTGAAAGGATGGAAAAAATAGTCCAAGCAAATGGCCCTAAGAAGCAAGCAGGTGTTGCAATTTTAATATCTGACAAAATAGACTTCAAATTAAAACTCATCAGAAGAGATAAGGAGGGTCACTTCATTCTGATCAAAGGAACAATTGACCAAGAAGATATTACAATCATGAACATTTATGCACCAAACTCTGGAGCACCCAATTTCGTAAAATCAGTCCAGGAATATGAAACAGAGATGACACCAACTCAGTGGTAGTTGGCGACTTTAATACCTCACTTTCTTCAATACACATGTCAACTGGACAAAGAATAAACAGAGAGACATCTGAATTAAATGACATACATATGAAATGGACCTAACAGATACATATAGAATATTCCACCCAACCACCAAAGAACACACTTTCTACTCAGCAGCTCGTGCAAGTTTTTCTAAAATTGATCACATTCTGTGGCACAAAACAAATCTCAACAAATACAAAAAGTTGAAATAATGTCATGCCTTCTATCAGACCACAGTGCAATAAAGCTTATAATCAACAGCAAAAGAAGCTCTAGTAAATATACGAACTCATGGAGATTAAACAGCACACTCCTGAATCATGAATGGGCCAAAGAAGAAATTAAGAAAGAAGTAAAAGTGTTCATGGAACAAAATGAAAATGAGAACACAACACAGCAAAACCTCTGGGACACCCTAAAAGCAGTCCTAAGATGGAGGTTTATAGCTCTTAGTGCCTACATTAAAAAATCAGAAAGAGCACATGTAAATTGACTTGACAGTACAACTCAAGACTCTGGAAAGGCAAGAACAAACCAACCTCAAACCTAGTAGACAAGAAGAAATAAAAATCAGGGCAGAAATTAATGAAATTGAATCAAAGAAAACAATACCAAGAATCAATGAATCTTAGAGCTGGTTCTTTGAAAGGTTAAACAAGATAGACAGACCCTTAGCCAAGTTAAGCAAAGAAAGAAAAAGCAAATCCAAATCAACGAAATCAGAGATGAAAGAGGAAACATCACAACAGACACCAAAAATCCAAAACATTGTAAGGGAATACTTTAAAAATCTATACTCCATTAAATTTGAAAACCTAAAAGAAATGGATATATTTCTTTTTTAAAATATTTTATTTATTCTCAGATGCCAAGGAGCTC